GTTGTCAATTGGTGGCTGTCCCGTGATTTCTAAGATCTTTTCATTTGGCATTCTATCGCCTAAATTCACACCGATGACTGTACGTAGGCATTTCATATAAAAGGTGTTTATTCTACGTTCATGTGCAATTGTGACGTCATGGTAACTTTAACGACTGTCAATCTATTAGAAGAGAAAATTGTTTAAAATAAAAATAACACGTATCATAACTTTTATTTTAAACAATATTGAAATTGTTGATACTACTTTTTTAGTGATGCAAATCGGATGGGCAAAGAAACAGTCAAAATTTATGAATCACGAAGGCTATGGAATTGGTGATGATGAATATTCTGTTGCTTATGATGGATGCCGAAATCTTCTATGGTATGCAGCTAAAGCAACACCACACAAAAACCCATCCTGGAAACCAGGTGACATTGTTGGTAAGTAAAACGGACCTTTTTTCACCTCAATTTCTAAAATCAGTATTACTTAAGGGTACCTCCCCCTCTTTTTCTACTCTCTTGAAAACCGGAGAAGCCGATGTTTGATCGAGGTGAAATTTGTACCAGAGGTAGAACATCGAAAAAGAAAATCGATGCATTTTTGCCTAGAATATTCTGACATGTTCTTCTAAGGGTTTTCTGGAAGACTCTAGTTTTCATCTAGTCACATTACGATCCATCGAAAAAATGATTCAATAAAGCTCAAAATTTTACCACAGATACTTTAGACCCTGTCTCAGGTTCGTTGTTTTTCTTTTTGAAAAATATACCTTCGTTCTCGAGATATTCGAAAAATACTAAAAATTCTGTATAAAAAACTGGTTTTTTATTTTGAAAATCGTCTTACGCCCATAGTTGAAATCGAAAGCGCTTTAGAAAAAGAACGAACCTGAGATAAGATCCAAAATATCTGTGGTAAAAATTTGAGCTCGATCGAACCATTTTTCCAAAGGGTCGTAATGTGACTGGGTTGTAGGCACTATCGAAAAAATGCATAGTGAGAAAAACACATATTGTACACAGCGTTCTGTTTTTCAGGGCATTTGTGGTGATACTTATATCTTCACGAAAAATCATCGGAAAATTCTGGACGACATCTTACTTTGAAGAGCACACTTTCTTCTATCATGCTGTCTACAAAAAAAAATTTTGAATATATAGAAAAGGAAAGAAAAAGTTATGAAACTAAAAAATAGAGATTTTTCAGGCTTTGAAGGGAAATTTTAAAAACATCATAACTTTTTCAAGGAAGGTCGTGGAGAGCTGGGAGTGATCTCATTCTATAGCCCAGACTTTCCTCTACATTAGGTTATGTTCAGGTCAAAATGAAAAGGTTTTTGCAAAAAAGAGAGGAGGGTACTCTTAAGTCAAAATTGATGTTAGAACTTTAGCTATCCTAGACGTACAAAGCATATTCATGCTTTCTTAACATATTGACATTTTCATTTTAGGTTGTCTGATTGATTTTGATCGTCGAGAAATCATTTTTTCATTAAATGGTCAATCGGTAGAACCATTTCGAGATCTATTCAAAACATATCATCATGATTCTAAATCAGCGAATGATGATGGATATTTTGCGGCCGCAAGTTTTATGTCATTTCAACAGTGTAAATTTAATTTTGGTTCTGAACCATTTGTTTATCCACCAAAAAATACTAAATATAAACGTTTTAATGATTTTGCTCATCTATTAGATAACGATAAAATTATTTTACCAAAACATAAAAAGCTAGAAATATTAAGACAAACAAAAATATCCGAGGAAGATTGTATGTTATGTGTAGAGGAAATAGCAAATATTATATTGAAACCATGTGATCATAGTGGATTTTGTGAAAAATGTTCATTAAAATTAGATATTTGTCCAATATGTCGAGCAGAAATCGATGAACGATGTCTAATTGAAAATAAGAAAAATTCATTTAGCGAAAAGACATCTAGCACAAAATTCAAATCAAATAAACGCAATCACAATTCAAAAATACGCTATGAACATTCATAATATATTTCTAAATTCTGTACGGTTATTTTTCAACTTGCCATTGAAATACATTTTGTTTTTGTTTTTTCACGATGTTTTCACTCAAACATGTAGCATACCATATTTTGCAATTTAAAAAACATTCAGTTCTTTCTAATAAACAAAAATTTGAAAAATATTTCAAGTATTGACAAATTTGGATGTATTTTTTTGTTTTGTTCTTTTTTTTGTTTTTTTTATGGAGAACAGTTTTATTTTTTAATAAAAATGACAATTAGTTTGTTCATTCCATTATTCTTTTTTTTTTTCGGCAAAAGCATTTCAGTTTTTTTTCTAGTCTCAAGCTCTAACTGTCCTTTGTTTTGATTTTTTTTTTCTTTCTATTAAATTCATTTATTGATTATACATATCTGTAAAAATGTAAATGTTGCTGTTTTTTGTGTATTTATCATAAAGTTCGTTGCTTTCTTTTTTTCTGTATCAACTGAAAGAAGAATAATTTGAATCTTTTAAACAAGTAAAAAATAAATTTATTTCTAAATTAAAACAATTATTAGATTCTATACGTTGGTTCAAGAACGTTATACCCATTTTACATTAGTTTTATTACTGAACGATGATTTGAAACTCAATTAAACAAAAAAGATTACAATTAAATGCTATCTTGATTGCAAAATATTAAAATTTATTAAAATAGTATTTGATTCCTAACTTCAATATACTCCATGGAAAATTTTCGAATTATCATCTTGTCCGTAGACAAAACAATTAGCCTCATCAAACGACTTAAGAACTCACTTCTTAAAATGATTAATGACTGTTTTGGAAATAGTCTTATCCAAGTTTCGCCATACTGTCATTTCATTAGTTAAAAAGAGTAAAACAGAATTATGTTTTAAAATATATTTTTCCTAACATTCTAAAAGTATAAAAGTACGGTAATATAAAAGTTTGTATTTGACAGTTTTTCATTCCTCTCATGAGGAAAAGTCTTCAAGTGTCAGTCTCCATTTTCAATGAGATATATACCAGTTTGTAGAGCTCGACGGCACGTAGCGTTCATCCTCATACGCTGTACGTGCAGGCTTTCCGATTGTTTTTAATCAGGATGGGAAGATTTGTTTGGTTGATAGTCTTTTTAAAAAGTCGGCGGACAGTTTTTTTCTAAATAAGTGTAACAATCATTAATTGAAAAGAACTTTTGTTACTCCGTATCAGAATTTATTTTTTCAACGAAAACAATATTTAATATTCATCCAAGTCATTCATAACGATATATTTTGTTCTTTGGCTCGACCTGGATGAGAAATAAAATCTTTTGTAACAAAATTATAGCTTCTGGGGTTAATGGAAGTTGTAAACTCGAAGCTTTGATACATGTTTCGAGGGTCACGTCTCCCATACGATTTCATGTCTATATTTTAACTCGACGAAGTGTGCTAAAAACCCATTCAGCTTCGTTTGACTCAACAATAAAGAACTTAAAAGACTGTCTGTCAGTTATTCTGTTCACGCAAACTCCAAAAGTTTGGTGGACAGTGTCAAAATTTAGGGTGGGGAGGTCTCTCACTTCCTCGTCTAATCGGAAACGCTGTGTAGGTGAAGAATTAGCTCGATCTTAACTTTCAGAGAATCACTCTGCGACGCCGTTTGGTGAACTTAGATTTTGATGATATTTTAGTTTCCAGCGGTTGAATTCGCACCATGGAATATGCCGTAGTCGACTGTGAATTCTCAAATGTTGAACTAGGTAAAATAAAGAGTCTAAACATGTTTTTGAATACATTTTGTAAAAGAAAATATTTGCACAATAATATATGGAAAAAAAAGATGATGAAACTACAACATGTTTAGACTCTTTATTTTACCTAGTTTAACATTTGAGAATTCACAGTACGGCGTATTCCATGGTGCGAATTCGACCGCTTGAACCTACAATATCGTCAAAATCTAAGTTTATCAAACAGCGTCGCAGAGTGATCCTCTGGAAGTTGAGATTGAGCTAACTCTTCACCTACAGCGTATGGGGATGGACTCTATATGCCATCGTGATCAGCTCGTCGAACTCTACAAACTGGTATATATCCGACTGAAAACGGAGAGGGGCCTTCTCTAGTCGGTTATGATCTAAATTTAGACTAATTCAATACATGCAATACTCGCAAGAAGTATATTTTTATCAGTTTGAAACTGAGTTAAATAGCGTAAAACATATCTAGTATTTGTCATCTTTACAACAATTTTTTCAAATTTCATAGGGGGTAGCAATCATAATAGATAACATTACGCGCCTATTTTCTATTTTGAATGGAGAAAAATCATTCAAAGTTTTTTCCTGCGTTATTTAAAAACAGATTATATAAGTTGTTATAATTAAGACAAATAAGTTCCTATAAGTTGTTAGCATAGAGACAAATTCATGATACCAATTTTGACAAATAGGTGGTGATTGAATAATTACTAGCCTTTGTATTTAATCTACATGTTACAAACGTGAAATAGTCTATTAATTATATATATCACAGTTGATTTATAAATGGAGAGAATTTTACAGAATTATCGTTTAATTTTTCAAATGATTTTATTGCTTCGATAATGGGTCTTTGTATCGCTACCACTGTGAGTGCTTTGTCTACAATGATATAAGCTTATACCTATTGACTACTCTTTTCGATTATTCATTCAACCTAGGCTGCCACATGCTGTTGTGGTGCAGCAGTTCAGGGTGTGTGTAACTGCTGTGCTAAAGAAATCTTTTTAACTCATATCTGCAAAAATTCAAGATTAACACGGCTTGTTTATGCGATATTATTAATAATTGGAACGGTGGCGGCTGCCTTATGTTTAACTGGCCACACAGAAAAATGGCTACTTAAAGTAGGTAGGTTTTAACCACTCAATGGCGTTATTATACCTGTTTTGTTTTTAGAGCATTTCAAGTTTTCCCATACCCAATTTCCATAATTTTAGGCATGTACAATATTCTGTTTAGATACCAAAACTATGTAAATTTATTAGTGATGAAAAGAATGGTACTACCAACACATGTGAATCATACGCGGGGTATTCCGGTGCTTACCGAATTTGTTTTGGATTTACAATTTTTCATGTTATCATGTCTCTAATACTGTATCGTGTTCAAACACTCAATGATATACGTAACGGTGTTCAAAATGGGTTAATAACTTTTGAATAAATATATCGTCTCTCTATCTAATTATTTTTCATCATTTAGCTTTTGGTTTTGGAAGGTTCTTATCATCGTTGGTCTTATTGTCAGCAATTTTTTGTATAATGTCAACAATTTTAACAGAGGTGATATAAATAACGAGTATTTATTATAACCCTTAATAATTAGTTTGAAATAAGAAGAAGTTTTCAAACTTATTAACCACACTTCTAACAGATAAGGAGAATATGATCTGTTTTATGTTTAGTCATCTTATACATCGGTTCAGGTGGCGGATTTTTATTTATTATTATACAAATGATATTTTTGATTGATTTCATCTACACTGTCAACAATAGATGGTTGGAAAAAGCCTATGATGGAAAAAATATCTTTCGATATCGTAAGTGCAACAAAAAAAGTGATTAATGAAGATTTTGAGAGTCTATTGCCGTCTAGTTTTAATATCATCGTTTGTGGGTCTCTACTTGTTGACAATTGGCTTGACAATTGTTTTATTCTATGTATACGGTCATGTATGTTTATAACGCTTTTATAATACAGTTCAAATTATTTCTTTATTCTTTTACTGTTTAAGTCAACAAAATGTTTACCAAATCAGATTTTTATTGGTATTAATATTGGACTGTGCATCATCATCTCTATTGTGTCTATCTTACCAGCAGTTCAAGAACGTCTAACGTCAAGTGGCCTTCTACAAGCATCATTTATTACATTTTATAGTACATTTTTAGTCTGGTCATCCGTTACGAGTAATCCATCTAAAGAAGGTAATTTCAATTTGAATCATGGCATTTAATCTTTATTGACAATTTTCTCTTTTTATAGCTCCAGAATGTAATCCAAGTATTGTATCCGCTGTTAGTGTATCAAAAGATGCTCTTAGACAAGAATCTTTACCAAAAGATTATGTTTCAACAGCAAATATCGTTGGTATGAGCTTACAAGTTATCTTAGTTCATCTATCATACTTTCTCATGATTTAGGTCTCGCAATATTTTTCTTAACACTTTTATATTCAACGTAATTGATATTAAAGGTTATATTCTAGATTACATTACAAAGTGTAGTATTTTGTTTATAGATTCAGTACATCAGCACAAAAGTTTACTCGACCTAGAAAACGAACTGAAAATGAAAATGCAGCTGTTACACCTTCTCAAATACCAGTCGCAGAAACCGATTCAATTTCAACAGTAATATTGACACCAGTTACAAGAGTTCAAGTTCAATCGTCTGCACATGTCAGTCGTTTTGTAACAGACTATGAAGATGAGATTATTGTTGATTATTCTTACAGTTTTTTCCATTTTGTCTACGCACTTGCCTCATTATATGCCATGATGACTTTAACAAAGTATGTATTACGGACGATAAGAATTATATCTATTACTGATAATGTAAGGCGTAGGTAATTCAAAATTTGTAACTGACTCACCTTTTTATGCTGAATCAGAAAAAAACTGTTTGGGAATTTTAGAAGGAAAAAAGACGAAAGTTCGAAATTTTTTAAAAAAATAGCGTTTTTTCACGAATTATAAAAATTTTGAATTTTCGACTTTTCTGCCTCAAAAAAGTTTTTCTTAAAATTTGAAATCAGCTTTTTCTTACTCAGCTCGACGAGTTCTATTCAATTAAAAATAAATATCGCAAAAAATAATTCTGCTCAACGTTTGAATTATCGGCGCCTTATTCATTTTGCAGTTGGTATCAACCTAGCCAGTCACTACAATATTTCAATATGAGTTCGCCAGGTATGTTATGAAAGAATTTTGTTTAATCACAATAAAACAACATTCTTTTATTACTATTTAGCATATTGGATCAAAATTGCTTCCTCATGGATCTGTATCTTTCTTTATTTATGGACATTAAGTGCGCCATTTGTACTTCGAAATAGAGATTTCTCCACATAACTATTCGTACATATTATTTTCCATCTTTTTTTTTAAACGATTGATTCTATTTTTTAACTGTGAAAAAATAAATATAAATAATGAGACCATAGCCAAAAAAGATTTCATTGAGAGATATGAGAAACATTGATTTTCACTGTAGAACAGTCACTCTCTTCAAATATTTTATACAATAAATTAACGATTTTAAAAATTATAACAAATGAGAAAATAGCTGAGATATACAAATAAGAATGGTGAGAAACAAATATATTAATAATCTCAAATCTATAAACACCACTTAACAAAGACAAAAAAAACTAAATCATGTTTGTTTCCATTTTTTTAAATAATTATAAACATAAATTAATGGTATAAACAATGCAAAAAGTATAATAACAAAAATGGCATACCACCATTTAGCACCACAATCAGCACCATCACAATTCAAATCATCTTGTTGTTTTTCTGCTGAACGAATTATGTTTAACCGACGGTTAAACGGTGAATACTGTCTCGTAAATGAAGAATGAAATGTTGTTTCAGTTACATTTTTTTTCATGGTATTTGCAACTTTTTCACGCATTAATTTTAAATCATTATCCATTGCTTGTAAAAATGTTTTAACCTGTACTTGAGAGTTTTCATCTTTATTCTGATTATAATGACATAAATGTGTTACAGGCATCGTTGTTCTTAAACATGACGATAAGGAAGACACGTACGGTGCTTGCTGTTGTTCAATGTCTACAACGGTTGGATTCGACGGTAAATCACATTCATGAAGTAAACCAAAACGTCTCACGGGTATCCGACATTTGGTCAAAGCATAGAAATCTTGATCAGTGTGAAGATTATTCAAGCGTTTAATTTGTGATACCTAAAGTAAAAAGATATAGGCAAAATTGTTAGATTTAATACTTGGACATGCGCGCAGAAATGATCGATATATATATCGCTCTGCTCGAAAACGAATGTTAATATGATATATTTTTATCTCAGTAAATTGCAACTATCTATAAAATATTTTAAGCAGGTATCCATATTTTAGAATGTCTGATAATCAAAAAGGTTTTCTTCTTACTGGCACTCTGTATCGTATTGCGAAAGCTTGTAGTGTTTCATTTTCCCTTATTGCTTTTTCAACAATCACAATCGATGCACCTCCGTGTGCAACAGGTCTTGTTTCTTGATCTGGTTTAAGTATTCTTGAGCGTAAAATTCGATTTTGTTCACCTTCAACATCGTCGTCTAATTCGAGTAACTCATCTTTACCATTTTTAGTCTCATATTCATTAAGTTTTAATCGGTCAAATACTTGTTGTTGTTCATCATCTGAATCGATCACACCTAACTCAATCGGCTCATCGTTGCTGTTGGTAAACGTAAATAATTGATTAGACTTTAATGCTTGTTTACCTGATGTAAATTTATATTTTCGATCATTCTGCTTACTCGAAAGTAAATTATCTTTTAGAAAGTTCATTGCCATAATAAATAATAATGAATGACAGCAAATAAAAATAAAAACCACAAATGGTAGATTGTTTATTAGAGAATATTTAATTAATAAAGTTAACGTTAATGTCAACATATTCGTTTCACAGAGCCGAATAATATTCATAAACAGCCATTATTCGCCCTAATACAAAGCTTTTTTCATTTTCCTCGCATCTAAATATATCAATAAACACGCAAATATTCATTCACCATCATTTCAAATAAGCTGTAAAATCGAATCGACGAACTGCATGATGATTTGACAGATTTTGTGGAATACCTGTGGCATTTTTTCTATAGTTCTTATCTAAGGTTTACATACTCGAAAGCACTCTGAAATTTTAATTTTCACTGTTTGTCGCTCTACACTTCTTCATAGTCAGTTCCTTTAGTGATAAACTCCTACACAGTCGGACATGATGACTAAACACTTTTCACCTTTTATTAGAGGATAAAAAGGTTGGTTATATCATAAGATTGGAAAACGCACTAGCCTAAAAATCAATAAAGACTATCTGAATTACATATAAAACATTTTAATAACTATAAGTAGTACTTCTGCAAAAAAACAAATTTCGATCATATAAGCCACTATGCTTTTATAAGCCTGGGCTCATTCTGAGTGCTTTTATTACTATTTGAAAAATGGCACACATTGTTGTACTTGAACTTGATTTTATTTTACGAACAAAGCTGACTTTACGAAAAAAAGAGCTACTGTAGGAAAGCACTTTTCACTTTTCGTGAATAAACAGTCTTAGTCTTAGTCTAGCAGAAAAAGTAAAAAATACTCTTATCTGAAACCGATCCGTCGAATTTTTTGAAAATCATTCAATTGAAAAAATATTGTTTTCTGCTAACTATCTGAAATTTACAACGTTGATACGTTGTTTGCTCTTAGCTTTAAATAAAAGCTCGAACGAGACACTATCTACGCCAATAAATAATATAAATAGATAAATAAATACAGAATTCCACTGTTAAGATTTTTATTAGTAGCCAAAAAAACCAATCAAAAAACTGAAACATACCTCTATATAGTAAAACTATGGGATGCCTATTTTGATTGGCTGATGCATATAGAGAATGAAATATGAAAGGAGAATCATCGCACGATTCAAAAATCTTTAGTTCTTAATAATTACTGTTATCAAATTGAAAAGTGCGGCATTCCTAGATGTTTCAGAAATGAACATTGTATTGTTCTTCTACATTTTTGTTCTTGTACGTTGTAAGAGTCGTCTTAAAGATTTTCCTGTTCTGAAAATGTTAATCTTTTACTGATGGCAACGACAATAAGTCTCACTAGTGAAGGTTTTTCTTCTTGTTATTGTAACAGTATAGATGAATGACAGTATCGTTTTTATTTTCTATGAATGATGCTCGTTTAGCTAAACATCCTATATTCAGTTTGTCTATTTAAAACAAAAACTAAAGGACATAGACGATTATAAAGAGTATGGAACTTTTCAGAATGAACTGTGAGAAAATGTTATAGTAGTTATAGATTTTACTTGATGGAAACTGCAGTGGCATTTTCTTGCCATTATGAAAGTGCGAGATATCTATAAAGTTACATTTTTCCTTTATTTGATGACATTTTTATTTGAACAAAATAACAGCAGTGAGAATAAGAATAATAAACTGAGTGACGCATTTCCGTTTCTTTTGCAAACTTCATGTATGCTGTCCGAGCGTTCAATTTTATCTTTACTTCCGAAGTAGATGCTTCGAACAAATTTAATAATGATCTAACGGCTAGAGGTGTCACTTTACTGTTCTTTACCAAATGATAAGTAATAAAATGTATTAGTTATTACCTGGAAACAAGTAATAAATCTTATTACTTTATTACTTATTACTTTTTTCAAGTAATAATCTTTTA